ACAATGTATATGAATAATTGTATAAAATGTTATGTTATGTGCCATCTAGTTGCTTAGGACTCATAGTGACCCTATGTACAAGAGCCCTAAACGCCATTCTATCCTGTGCCAACCTCGCCATCTCAAACACACTTATTCCCACCAGTCCACTCACAGAATTGATCCTTCTCATCAAGGGTCTTCCTTTTCTGCACTGCCCCTCCACTCTCCCAAACATGATGTCCCTCACCAAGGACCAGTCTCTCCTTGTAATATGTCCCAAAATTAAATCTATTATTAATTATACTATCAAAAGTGAATGATCGTATACTTAATAATAATTTTTTTAAGAAAAAAGGATATATGAGCCGTTGGTGGTGTAAATGGCTAAAGTCCGGCAGTTTTCTTATGAAAGGTCACACCTTTGTAAACTTTCTAGGGTGATTCTATTCTTCCCACATGAGGCTGCCAGGGTAACAGATATACAAACTATAAAAGATAAAGCAAATACAAGAAACATGTGAATGTCCCAGGTTTTTGTTAGTAGGTTGACAGCATTTCTTCACAACAGGGAATTAGAATGTGATGCTAAACACCCTGGCTTAACTTCCAGTATTTTCAATGTTTAATACATTAGCCTGTGTGCCAGAACCTCCACGGAATTCTAAGCTCCATTCCACTTGTGCCAGTCCGCGACTCTGGTAAAATCCCGGTAGGATCATGGCGCAGAACAAGATAGACAGGAGCTCAGGCCTCGTGCTCACAAACTGGTAGCAATAACAAGGAGATTACGTCGAGTCGTCATAACATGCTTGGACTTCGGCACAGAATCCTAGAGGGAAAATGCCCAACTTTATTTCCCCCATGAGGAATTATAGTCAGGTGGTCCTGGCAAGTTTTTAATAAAAATCTTAGAAATGAAAATTGCCCCAGCTCTTGAGAAAGCATTTCTAAAATAAACAACATCCCAGACCTGGCAACCAAGCACTGCAGGGACTGTCTCTCCTGTTAATAATTGCTTAGGGTCAAGAGAGGGTCATTGAGTCTCCACAGGAGTTCTATTAAAGTCCTAAGTGATGCACACATTTAAACAGTCAGCTACTAACTACTAGGTTGGCACTTAAAGTCCATCTAAAGGTGCTCTAGATGAGTGGCCTGGCCAGGTATTTCCAAAAGGTCAAGGTTGTGAAATCCCTACGGAACAGTTACACTCTGCAACATGTACCACATTGGGTCAGAATCAATTGGACGGTAAGAGTTTTTTTTGTTTGTTTGTTTGTTTGTTTAACTGGCTCTATAAAACAAAGACTAATAATACTTCTCGTCAATTTAACATGTCTGAGAGAAGCTGGAGTGACACCACCACCTCCAACTTTCGCTTCCCCCAAACCCACTCGAATTTCCATGGATGATGATATTTGTTTCACACACACACACACACACACACACACACACAGAGTCACCAGATCTTCTCAGGCTCTTACTGGCATACTTACCTTCCCTCATATGACTGCAAAATACTTCCTCCCCTTAAAAGCAATTTCCTGATGCTAAAATTTTTCCCATGCCCCATCCAATGATTTCCTCCCAATGGTGATCAGTTAACACTAATTAAGGTATGGAGGCCGTAAAACAGAACTGACTTGATAGTAGCCAGACTTGTTTTGGCTTTGATCTTACTGTGACACAAAACTAGGTCTGCTTCCAACCTTCAGGCTGGACTTGTGCTTTGATTCTATTTTCTTCAGGTTTATGAAAGAAATAAACAAATGGAGCAAGCATGTTGTCTGACGGTGCACCACACTGAGAAGACAAAAATTCATGTTTCTAATACTGGCCTGTGATTACTAAATCCCTGTGGGGGTTTGAACACATTGCTTAATTCTCTACACGTTAATCTTGACATTCTATGAAGCGTTGTGTATTTATAGTGCTTAAAATTCCAATGCAAAATTAGTTTGTTTTTGAGGAATAGCAGACTAGGGTAGATATGTAGAAGGCCATTTAAACAATAGGAAATGAAGGATTAAAGAAGAGGAAATCTTGCAAAAAGAACACCATGGGAGTCTAGGGTAAATGGAGCATCAGAATGGGATGGTCTCCCATTTCATGGACTGACTCTCAGTTCTATAAAGAAAGAAGACTGAAATTAAAGTTAAAAGAGCAATTTTCTTCACACATTTTAAAAAATGTGAACTCAAATAACAAAAAACTAGAATGGGACTAAGGACAGAATCCTCTGAAGGCTGTGGGGAACATAAGACCCTAGAATAGTGTGGGCTATTGAATGCAAAGCATCTGATAAACACTGATTAACTCTGACCCTCAGCACTGCTCCTGTCTTCCTGTGTCATCAGTAACTTATTTTTCCATGAGGGAGTCCCACTATCCCCATTCTCAATGTGTGAGGCTTGAATTGTCTGCTTCTTTCAAGATTGCAGCAGTGGGCAGAAGCCAGGAACCTTGTTGATCAACGCATCATATCAACAGTCAGAATAGCTGGTTTGTGGACAAGGAAATGCAAACAACACAGTCCCTAAGAATTGGTACTACAGGAAAAGCCACTCTTAATTACTCTCTAGAATGGAAATCCATGATGGGTTTTCCTGAATGAAGATGACCAATTAAAAACCCAACCTAACAGAGAAGACCAGACCCAAGCTGGCAAGAAAGAAAACTGTAAAGGGCTTTGTGTACTTGACAGGATGATACTGAGGCTTGATGTCATTTACAATCAGGATGTAGCTCAATCTTCCTTTCTATTTTCAGAGTTAAGAACTAACAAATTGCCTTCTTTTGACTTAAGATTATTTTGAACTGGAATTTTGTCACTCATATTCACAAGCATCCAAAATAATCTAAGGCCTACATGCAATAAATATTGTGTGCTAGGACGGCAGCTGTCTATAAACAAAGTTGTATTTGCATGGACAAGAACAACCACAGTGGCTAGAGAGTGATCTTAAACAAGGGCACTACAGTTGGCAGACATGAAGGATTCACATCTAAGCATAGTTAGCAAGCTCTGGGAACTCATGTGTTAGTGACTGCTAAAGGCTTCATTAGCTTGATTACACATGTGAGGAACACAAGGCCACAAATCATGTGTATTAGCATCAATAGGAACTTGAAGAGTTAAGCATAAGAACTGTAATCTTCACAAGTGGTCCAATAAGAAGCCATCATGGTAAATGGAAAAAATACTGGAGTTGTCAAGGATCTAACTGTAATTGGATCCACAAGCAGCACCCATGAAGCTCTAGTCAAGTGATCAAATGAAACACTGCCTTGGGCAAATCTGCGGCAAAGTATCTCTTTATAATATCAAAGAGAATGGATGCCACTTTAGGGATCAAGATGTGCCTGACCCAATTCAACTCAACCAGGGTCATCAAGTCAATTTCAACTCATGGCAACCCTCCATCAGGTTTCTGGGGCTGTAACTCTTTACAAGTAGAGATTGTCCATCTTTCTCCCACAGAGCAGTTGCTGGACTACTGGCCTATTGGCTAGCAGCACAACACAATATAATATACCATCACAGTTTCTTGCTCCTGATCCATGTCATACTATTTTCAAGAATTATATACAAAAGAAAATTGGACAATGAATAGGGAAGAGTAGAGAAAAAGCAATGCCTTTATATTGTGGTGCTGACAAAGAATATTGACTATACTGTGGAATGCCAAAGAGATTGAACTTGTCTTGGAAGAAATAAAAGCTCCTTGGAGGCAAAGCTGGTGAGCCATAGTCTCATATACTTTGGCCATGTTATCAGAAGGGGCTACTCCCTGAAGAATAACATCATCCTTGGTAAAACAGAGGGTCAGAAAAAAGAAGAGAAAACCTTCAAAGAGATTGACTGACACAAAGGCTTCAGCAATAAGCTAAGCAGAACAGCAACACTGAGGAAGACCCAGGACAGGTGAGGCTTCATTCTTTCACACACTCAGTTGCTATGGGTTGGACCTGACTCAGTGGTATCTAAAAAAAATCCCCCCCCCCAAACTGAAGGAGCCTGAGGACATTTTGGTTAAACATCAAATAAGTGAGCAGTGTTAAATCTCTTCTAGATTCCACTGAGACTCAGATCCCCATGACCTGAAATAATTAAATTCTTCTTTCCTTAGATACAATATTTATATTCTCCTTCTGATTCAGGATAGAAAAGCCAAAATAAGAAAAAAGTCAAGGGACAAAAACTTGTGCATCTGGACCCATGCAGGCATGTGAACACCCGAGGAATAACTGAAATATGAGGGTTTTGAGTGAGTACAACATCAAACTGAGATTTGACAATTGTGGCTTTGCAGTATCAAGGACTTGACCAATTTTTTTTCCCTATTCCCAATAACTGAGATTAGAGTTTGGCAGACATAACCCAACTTCTGGAATGCTCTTGGATTTAATTTTCTATCATAAAGAACATGTTTCTTTTTAGCAAAACCATTTAATGGCAAACATTAACAACAAAAATTGAAGGTTCATTGAGTGTATGGCATGATGTTACCAAAAATAAACTTTGATAATGAACCTTATGTATTTTAATCATAAACTAAAAAGACCTATAAGGCACATCAAGTTTGAAAATTTACGTTAAGCATAAGATAGAAAACACTGTACATGATATTCCTTGTAAGAACATGGAGTTTAAGATTGAATTTGGCATATGACATCTGAAAATAAATAATAACAAATATTCAAAACCAACTGTGCTATGGTAAATTATAGAAATTAGAAAATTAATTCCTAAGGGTGTATGTAGAGTCTTTAGATTGTGTATATATAAAATACCTAAATTTGTAATAAACACTTCACTAGCTATTACTTTAAATGAAAATTCAATCAGGTCAGATTCTGTGTTCCACAGAAATGTCTCCAATTTCTTCCACAGAAGTGAATGCAGTCCAGCTTCAGCTGATTATCCAAATTTTCCTTAAGCAGGTATAATCAGCTAGTTAGCTACTGAAATAAACATGTAGACACTGGCAGTCAATGAGGAGCACAAAGGAAGTACTTACCTTTCCTCCCCTGAGGGTCGTGGCAGTTTTCATGGATGCACAGGCCCCAGGCCGACCAGGACGAGACGATACAGTCCATAGAACAAGGGATGTTGCAGAGCTGAGAGGACAGGGGAGCAGGTCCCAGGCACAACGTCTTCTCCACGGGTCTAGAAACTGAAGGGTAACAAAGGTGGCCATGACATAGTCTCCAGACACATTGGCATTGTTCCTATCTTTATTTCTGTGTTTGCTCTCCTCACACCAGCCTTAAGGTTGAGAAAAGAATATAGCATATACAAATGTTCAACACTCTCAAATACTCTCTTTTGCTCTATATTACTATTTGGGGAAAGAAAAGAGGAAAGAAAAAGACAGGCACAAAAGAAAGACTCGTTCTTCTTGTGGCACAGACTAGTCCCTTGTTAACTAAGAAAAGACAAGAATTGTCATAGCACTAAAATATTTGTATTTGAGACTTTAAAAAAATTAAATAGTTTTGTGAGGTTTCAAGATGAGTGTATCCGTACTATATAAATGACTAGATGGCTGCAGAAAAATCAAAATCAAACCCCTGAGGTAACCCTTTAGCACAACCAATCTACTTCTGTGACTCTCCTGAGGGGTGGACCTCTCCAAGACATGGAAGAAAAATGATTCTTAGAGTAAGAAGGACCTGTGACTGCAGGACTGGTCCCTGGAAATCAAGTTGATTAGTGAGGCTGCCCAGAGGTGTAAGTCAGCATCCTGAGTCACACCGAATGACAAAAAGGGAGCTAATTTGTAGCATGTTGAGCTGAAAACAAAATGCCTCACATCTCTGGAAGTTTGAATATACCAAAGGCTCCAGGAAAGAAAGATAGGAAGTCTCCTCTCATTAAGATTTGCAACCTAACCATAAAAGTAAGGAAGGGCATTGCAGTACTGATTAAAGGCACAATAGATCAAGAAGACATAACCTTGGTCAATATTTATGCACCAAATGTTAGACCTGAAAAACACATAAAACAACGGTTAATAGAATTGAAGAAAAAAAATAATCAGCAACACAATAGTGGCAGGAGACTTTAGTGCAACACTGTCAACAAAGGATAGGTCAACACAAAACAATCTCAATAAAGAGGAAGAGGATCTAAACTATACAATCAGCCAACTCTACCTTTGTGGATGTATTCAAGGTACTGTACCCAACTAAAACTCAATACACTTTCTTCGTAAGTGCACACATTCTCCAAAATTGATCATATATTAAAACACAAAGCAAGCTGCAAAAATTTAAAAATATTGAAATAACGCAAAGTATCTTCTCAGACCACAAGGCCATAAACTAGAAATTAACCACAGGAGGGTAAAACTTACAAACCACCCCTACAGAAACTCAAAAACTCTCTACTAGAACATGACTGGGTTATAAAAGAAATAAAGAATGAAATAAAAAATTTCCATGAAACAAAAATTAAAGTGAAACTACAACATACCAAAACCTCTGGATACAGCTAAGGCAGTCCTTCCTTATAGCAATAGGCATACACATAGAAAAAGAAGAAAGAAGAAAAATTAATGATCTAACTCAACAGCTTCATCAAAGAAAAAGAAAAACAATCTAAACCTACAACATCTAGAAGAAAAGAAATTATAAGGAGACATGAACTGAAATCACTGAGATAAAAAACTGAAAAACAATTGAAACCATCAATAAGACCAGGAACTGGTTTTTTGAAAGGGTGAATAAAATGGACAAACCTCTGGCAAACATAACAAAGGATGAAGAAAAAAAAAGAGAAGTCACAGGTAACTCGATAAAGAAATCACAGAGGTGACATCACAATAGAACCAGATGAAATTAAATCAATAATATTATGAATACTATGCAAAACTATACAGGTTGATGTCCTGTCTCCATACCTTTTCAACCTGTATGCAGAGAAGATTATCCGAGAGGCTGGGCTATATGAGGAGAAGCATGGCGTTAGGATTGGTGGATGATCTATCAACAATCTGCGTTATGCAGATGACACAACCCTGCTTGCTGAAACTGAGGAGGACCTCATGCACTTACTGCAGAGGGTCAAGGACTGCAGCCTTCAATATGGACTGAGGCTCAATGTCAAGAAGACAAAAATTCTCACCACTGGACCAATTGGTAGCATCAGGATGGATGGTGAAGAGATTGAGATTGTTCACAGCTTCAGTTTGCTCGGCTCTACAGTCAACACTCTTGGCACCAGTACCCAGGAAATAAAAAAATGTATTGCGATGGGAAAGTCTGCAGTTAGGGACCTCTCTAAAGCACTCAAGAGCAATGGTGTCTCTCTGGAGACTAAGGTGCACCTGATACAGGCCATGGTTTTTGCAATCACTTGTTATGCATCAGAGAGTTGGACAATGACTAGGGAGGATAGAAGGAGAATTGACGCCTTTGAGCTGTGGTGCTGGAGAAGAGTATTGAATGTACCATGGACTGCCAAGAAAACAAATAGATTCATCCTAGAGAGGGTTAAACCAGGCTGCTCCTTGGAGACAAGGATTCTGGGGCTTTGCCTGACTACTTTGGACATGTTGCCAGGAGGGACGGGTCCTTGGGGAGGGACATAATGCTTGGGAGGGTGGAGGGACAGCGCAGGAGGGGAAGACCCTCTATGAGGTGTATTGATTCAGTGACTGGGGTAATCGGGATGGGTGTGTCAGAGGCAATGCGATTGGCCCAGGATAAAGCAGGGTTTAGGGCTGTTGTACATAGGGTCGCTATGAGTCGCAAACGACTCGACGGCACATAGCAACAACAACAACAACAACATGCAAAACTATACTCTGATAAATTCAAACACCTAGGAAATGAACAAATTCCTTGAAATGCATCCCTGCCCAGGCTGACAGGTACAGATATAGAACACCTGAACAGACCTATCAGAAAAAAAGAAATTGTAAAGGTCATAAGGGCTTCCCAGTAAGAAAAGTCTTGGACCAGATGACTTCACAGATCAATTCTAGCATTCTACTTAAATTATTTCAAAAAAATTGAAAAAGAAGGAACAATCCTAAAGAAATTCTATGAAGCAAGCATAATCCTAATGCCAAAACCAGGAAAATACATTGCCAAAAAAGAAAACTACAGACAAATATCTCTCATGAACATAGATGCAAAATCCTTAACAAAATCCAACCAACAGAATCTAAAAGCACAACAAAATAATAATATACCATGACCAAGTGAGATTCATAACAGGTATGCGAGGATGGTTCAATATTAAAAAAAACAAGCAATGTAATTCACCATATTAACAAAGTCAATAACAAGCACCATATGACCTTAGCAAATGATTAAAAAAAGGCATTTGATAAAATTGAACACCCCTTCCTGATAAAGACATTCAGTAAAATTGGAATAGAAGGGAATGTCCTCAACATAATAAAAAATATACATCTAAAACCAAGAGCCAACATTATTTTCAATGGAGAAAGACTAAAAACGTTTTCCTTGCAAACAGGGACCAGACAAGGTTGCCCACTGTCACCACTTCTATTCAATATTTTATTAGAAGTGTCTGCTAGGGAAAAATGGCAAGAGAATGAGATAAAAGTCACACAGATCCACAAAGAGATGGTTAAACTATTGCTATATTCAGATGATACGATAGTTTACACAGAACACCCCAAAGACTCAACAAAAAAACTGTGAAGAGGCCAATTTAGTAGAGTGGTAGAATACAAGATCAATATCCAAAAATCAGTGGGATTCCTCTACAGTAACGAAGAGAATTCAGAGAAGGAAATCAAGAAAGCAATACCATTTACAATAGCCAACCACAAATTGAGATATTTGAGAGTGAACCTAACTAGAGAGACACCTATATAAAGAAAACTACAGAACACTTCTGCAAGACACAATAAAACCTAAAGAAATGGAAAAATGTGCCCTGTTCATGGGTAAGAAGACTCAATATTGTGAAAATAGCAATCCTAACCAAAGCTATCTACCTGTTCAAAGCAATCCCAATACAGACACCAAATTCATTTTTCAAGGAGATTGTAAGGGAAATTGTTGAATTTATTTGGAGAGGCAAGAGACTCTGAATAAGCAAAACACTTCTGGGGAGCCGGGGGAGAGTGCTAGGCCTCAGAACTTACTATATAGTGGTAGTAACCAAAACAACATGGTACCTGGTATAATGACAGGCTCATAGACCAATGGAACAGAACTGAGAAGTCAGAAATAGATCCAGCTATCTATAGTAAACTGTTATTCGACAAGGAAATAAAACCTATGAAATACGAAAATGACAACCTCTGCAACAAATGGTGCTGGTAAAGGTGGACTGCTACCTGTAGAAAGCTGAAACAAGATCCACATCTTACACCACATACAAAAATCAATTCAAGGTGGATCAGACATCCAGGAATAAAGCCCCAAACCATAAAGTTCACATGAAACAAACTGGGATCAATCTTAGAAGACCTAGTCTACGGTATAACGAGAATGCCAAATACAACCAGAAATGCACAATCTGAAGAGAATTAAAATCATGAATGGGATCTTCTAAAGATTAAATCCCTTTGTGTATCAAAACTTTCTTAGAACAGGTTTAAAAGAAAACCTACCAAATGGGAACAAATATTTGGCAATAACATCTCAGACAACAGTAACATAACAAAAATTTACAGAATACTCCTGAACCTCCAGAAGAAAAAGATTCCAATTACAAAATTGACAAAAGACATGAAAAGAATTTTCAGAGAAAGATAATCAGATGGCCAACAGACAAATGAAGGAATGCTCAAAATCACTGACAATAAAAGCGATGCAGATCAAAACCACATTAAGATACCTTCTCACTTCAGTAGCAGTGGCAAAGTTTAACAGAGTAGCAAGTAAGAAATGTTGGAGAGGATGTGACGAGGAACTCTTATACATTGTTGGTGAGATTGTAAATTGGTATATCTACTCTGGAAGGCAGTTTGGTGCTTCCTCAGAAAGCTTAACCTAAAAGTTCCATATGACCCAGTTATTCCACTGCTTAGAATATACCCAAAGTAAATGAGAACTGAAGCACAAATGGAGACTTGTACAGCAATGTTCATAGCAGCATTATTCACCATCACAAGAACATGGAAACAGCCCCATGTCCAAACACAACTGAATGGATTGAGAAATTATGCTACATTCACACAAGGAAATA